TCCGTGGATCACCACCAAAATCACAAAGTTTAGCGGTTCGTGCGCTCTTGTCGTTAATTTGGGTGTTAGGGCGCGTCGAATACTGTGGTCATTCTGCACACTTCCACAGCTACTGTTCACGGGATGCGGTCCAAGCGATGGGAAGGGAGACAGTTTCCCCTTCGGATCCGGACCGAGTGATGGGGAGGGAGACAGTTTCCCCTTCGGATCCGGGCCGAGCGATGGGGAGGGAGACAGTTTCCCATTCGGACCCGAGCCGAGCAATGGGGAAGGGGGGGGGGGGGAGACAGCTCCCCCTTCGGATCCGGGCCGAGCGGCGCTGCAGTGCCAAGCGCATAATCGCCTGTAGCAGTTTAACGAGCGTCTATTTGCCAGGTTAGGGACGGCCGGTTGTGGGAAAACAGAACACAGATTGCATGCCCGAGCCATGCATGGCAACCATCCACCAAAATTTACCCAAACACATTGAATTGCCATATAGTTGTATCAAACTTTTTTCGCTGATGAAATCCATTAATCAACCCCTTAAAAAACTTTGTCTTCTTGGCTCTTGTCAAACAAATGCCTCAAAACAGGCACATAAAAGTACTAATTGTCATCAAAAGCACAACACTGTTGTACGAAAACAACCCATAAACTTAAATAAACCTGACCTTCTGAAATCAAAATAATTTCGAAACTGACCAAAAACTTCGAATTGCTCACCCAAAAACCCATGACATCAACAGAGGTCGTTAAAAAACCGTTACTCGTAAACATAACTACTGCAGATAACGCAGTTATCGGAGAATGACAATACTGCAGTAAAAAGATGCAAACACTAGCGATGCTAACTTGCGACGAAGCACCACAGAACCAACGTGGGAATTACATTAGCGAGCTGGAAAGACGGCGTAAGCAGCAACACAAAATATTTGGACAGGGATACTAGACAACTATTATGACCCAGCGCGATACCTGAGCTGGGCCGTGTGCCCTGTCTGAACCCCCGTGTCATTTCTTCCGGTGTTTGTTCACGATGTGCACTATATGTCCGCTATATCACCAGCGTCGCAATGCCTCGCGCCCACTCTAATGAGACAAACCTAAACGCGTTTGCCGGTCCGTCTCAAGCTCAGGCCTCACATCCACAGCATGTTGCCAGTGTGGCCCGAGTCAATCCCCTCCCAGGTCAACCTCCGAGCCGTCGGGCGCGCGTCCGCCGGCGTTGTCAAAGACTAGACCGAGTCCAGGGGCAGTGGCACCGGGCGGGGTGGGGGCGGGAGAGAGGGGGGGGGGGGGGGGCTGGCCACCGGGCGCCCCGGCCCCACCGTACGGTGGTCCCGGTGGGCCGCCCGTTACCGCGGCCATGGCAGTGTCGGCTACGGCAGGGCCGCAGATTCTGGCCGAATTGAGACCGAACCGGACCGGGCGGAGCGAGCACAGGGCGGATGCTGAACGGTTGACGGCGCGCCAAAGGGCTCCGCTGCAATTAACACGTGGAACGCCCCGAAGGTGTTCAATTAGCGACACAACTATATATATATATATATATATATATATATAATATATATATATATATATATGTATACCGTTGATCCAATCGAATTACGGAAGGCGTTTCCGAACCTTCGATTTCAGTTCTCTCTGCTTCGGCGATTCCGTTCACCTGCAGACTATGTCCTAGACAACGTGTAAACACCGACGTTTGACGTTCCCGACCAGTTCATGGCCCGGGTATCGGCAATGATAGACTTGATAAAACGCAGCTCGAAATCCAGGATTTCGGCTCCTTTAATCTACGCTGCAGAATCAATGCTCAAGACCCAGCGTAAACACAGACTTGACAGTTTTAGACAACGAAGCACCCGCAACACTGGTGGCGGACCAACTTGGTGGCGTCTAAGGACAGTTTCAGTGGGAGGCTTCAAGCGCACGGTCATAAAAAATTAAAAAATAAAAGTATTACAACGCACATTTACTTTCCTAACGATGGTCCTAGATCCTTTCAAGACACATATATAATTTAATGACACCTTAGCCTTCGCTGAAACCAACTGAATGGCAAAAGGCTTCCTGGTTCTTAGCCCTCCCTGAGTTAGTAGCGTAATTACCCGGGCTGGGTCAACAGGCGGGTTCCGACAGCATTACTTTGACAGAATATCTCTTGCATCATACCCCGCAAGACAACCATTCCCTGCAAAGTCGACAATGTGCTGCATGATCACCACGAGGGCCAGAAGCTGATCTGCCTGAAGCAATGGACGGAATGCCGGCGACCTTCACAACTTTTACTCGGCCAGCTGGAAACTTCCAATACAAAAATCCTGCACAACGCTGCCTGTACCAATACTCAGTCCCGACATGTACAAATCGAAGCATTACACAACGCCAGATGCTGCGGAGAAATGAGCGCCGCGCCAGAGCTGTTCGCGTTTCTTCCGCCCCCGCAATAGCGAACACGAGCGACGGTACGATCAACAGGACGTCGCTTCCATAAGCGGATGAGCAAAATTCACGAATGGATCGCTAAGTTTTCGCGCGTGTGCACAAAAGCTCTCCTGGGGTTGAGTTTAAGGACATTCACTTTCAAAAGAAAAAAAAACGGGACTGATCTCCCACCGAGCAGTCCGCTCACCACGGTCCGTTATGACGGTCTGCTGTTCTACAGGAAAACGATAGGCCTGGTCGCCATGTAGCATCTCACATGACTTGACCATTGCGGTTTTAGCGCTCTCATACTGCTACGGCCATGCAGCGCGCCGCTCGGCCGCGCAACAGCTGGAATAAGTTGCACATGAAATTACGGTAGTTCTTATGGCCTCATTCCTCGTTGAATGATTATGAGAAAATATATACATGCATTGATGTTTCGGCTACAAGCACGTGACAAGCAGCTAATCGATGGCAAAATGAGCAAATGTAATGCGCTTTATTTGCAGCACATTCTAAAGCTGTCAGAACAAGAATACCTGCCGTTGTTTGTCACAACCAATTTTTAGACAAAAGCTTGCAGCCAAAAAATCAATGCATCTCGCTCCCGCTGTTAGTTATTCAACGAGAAATAAGGTCATTTGTAATGCTGTTACGCATGTGTTATGTTCGTCGCAGCTGCACGGAACAACTTACGACATTTTTGTCTAAATAGGCTGATGCAGATGCAATGCTGCATCACGCGTATAAACACCAGATGAAAACTATCACTGCAATGCGATGCGCTGCATTGGCACGGTGGAATCCCCCAGTCAGCAGGAGGAATCCGCTCCAAATCGGACATGCACAGACAGTTCCCGCCAACCAAAGTAAGCGCGCATCATCTCATTTACATTGTGGCGATGGCAGGAGCGGATGGACGTGAAGGACAAGTCATATACATGGCAGAATGTCAGCATGCAGATCCTTGAGTCAGAAATCTCCAGAGGCTTGAGCATGAAGCTAACCCCTAAGCAGCGAACTGGCGCCCGCGAGAGAACGGCCCGTGATCAGCAGTTAGTCCCGACATTCACGACCGGTCACGACCGGTGGGCGCGGTCCGTGAGCGCGAGGGGCAACGATCAGCGAGCCAGACTGGCGCCGGGACGTTGGGTGCAGTTCACCCCGGAGACAATTCATTTTTTTGGTAGGTCAAGGGGAACTGATTCCTTCAAAAAGCAGTAGTACCGTTGGAGCTGGACCATATTCGGCAGCATGAGCTTGAAGAATTAGCCACGCGACGGGTCAACCATAAACAATAATCACCTACAAACAAGATTTTCTTTTCCGGACAGAATTCAAACGCGCTGCAAATAAATACACAACATTCCCTCATTTTCTTAACCAAACATGCCTCAAATGCTATTGTTTATGAAGCTCAAGGCACAGCCCCACCTCAAACCTGATAATCGCTGGATCTGACTCAATGGAAACCGGCCCTAAATGACCTATAAGTCGGATGTTGTGATTCCTTCGCCGGGTTGGAATCAGGCAGTGTGGCGGGCTTAGAACTCAGTGCACGGCAGGACCATCAGCGGACAAACGCATCTATAAGGTCAGCTTTGTCGGGCTGCAGCGGAGTATGCGGCGAAGCGGCAGCAAAGTAAGTGATCTCATTCAGGCAAGTGGAATGTCATGGTGGATAAATCCTAAACACCGTCGTGATTACATAGATGACCACATTTCGACCATATTCAGGACAGAGCCCCGTAACTGAACAGCTGGACCCTCCGATTCAGGGCGCCTCTGAAGCATTCGGCTGTTGCTGTACTCAGGAGACTGCCGTTTAGTGTGTGTATGTGTGCATGCTTTGACCTCCGGTCATAATGTCGGACCCTGCCGGTTCTCGCCAGTTCGCAAGAATGTCGCGCAGAATTGGACCGGCGTCACCGTATCCCACCAGTGCATGGTAGGCATATCAACAGAGGGAGCGAGCGTTTGCCTGCACTTACCGGCGTTCAGAAGGGCAGCCTCGGAGCTGGGCGGGCCCGGCCGGCGGCGACGACGGTCCGGCACGGTCCGTCTCCTCGCGCTCGCCCTCGTCGCTGCCGTCGTCGCTGAGGGCGTTCTCCTCCTTGTCCTCGGCCGGCGGACGGCCGTCGGCCGGCGGCTCGGCCTTGACGGTGGGCCGCAGCTCAGGTCCAGCTCCAGCGGCGAGTAAGCAGCGCGCGCACAGCAGCACGGAGCGTGATGGTGGCCGGGATGCGGGGCAGGCTGGGCGACGGTGGGCAGACGGCCGGCCGCTCCGGCTCGCCGGCGGCGGCCGGCGCCGGGCCCGGGCTGTCGCCGCTCTCCGGACTGGCTTCGCCCGATGGCCGGCGCGCCCCTTGCAGGGCGGCGGCGACACGCGGCCGTTGGGCTGCTCCGGCGTCGCGTCCGGCTGCTGGCCGTCGCCGCCGGGGACTCGCGCGCCACAGCGTGCGGGCTGGCAGAGCGGCGCGGCACGTGCTGGAACGGCGGCGGCGGCAGCGGCAGAGACAGCGGCGGCATCGGCGGCGGCGGCGGCGGCGGCGCGCTGACGGCAGCGGCAGCGGCAGCGGCGGCAGCGGCATCGGCAGCTGCAGCGGCAACGCCGGCGGCGGCGAGGACGGCGGCTTACGATTGCTGCCGTCGGCCAGGCCTTTTATTTTCAGCGACTCGGCCGTTTTGATCAGCGACGCCAGCTGGTCTTGGCAAACGTTGACTTCACCTATGTACATGTAGTCCACCAGAGCCCTGAGTTCACTGAAGGGAACATCCTTCAGGATGATGACTGGGTGGTTTTCCTGATGTGCTGAGAAAATCGCCTGCAACGGAAGCACGTAGTGAGCCCATGCCTTCACTTGAGTGGCGAAATGGTCTCTAAAAACCATGCCACAAAGCTGTGACCACAGCACCGCAACTGTTAAACAAGTAATATTTCACAACCAATGCTATCACAGCAATCATAATTTGGGCCATCATTTACATACACACAGTTCAACAGAAACCACCCCTACATAACTGTAACATGAGGCTCCTGTCACCCCCCCCCCCCCCCACAAACCTTTCAATAACTTTTAACACCAGCTGCATACAGCTATCTGCTACCATCTGCAGCTATCCTGAACCCATGAGCTCTCCACAGTCCTGCTGACTGACATACTCAATCTCCTGGGTGGCAGTACATACCCTGAAATACTGGCTGCAGGCAGAGAGGACCACCTTGTGCGCACGCACTGGCCGGCCCTCGGCATACAGTGTCACATCCACCAGGCTCTCATCCTTGAGCAGTGACTCAAACACGTTGATCAGAGTGGTGTGGTGGTGGTTCCACCGCAAGCAGAACTGCTGGTCAGCCATTCCGGATCTGGGAAAGACATGGGCACGTCAGCACATTGCAGGCCAGTCCTGATTCTAACTTGGGGAGGGTTACCAGGAAACATACAACGCAGCACAGTTTGATGATGATTTGGGCTTTACAGCAACCAACTGCCAAGTGTGTGATGCTGATCACAATAGCATGTCACATGCAGTGAGTCTCATTTAAGATCAATATCCTATGCATGACCTTTGTCCATGGCTTCCAGCTAGCATCCTCAACAAAAGGAGCTTATGTAAATTGAAGCAGCAAAATCCATGTTAAGGGCTAAATCATGCATCACAAAACAAGCTTGCCCTAATGATCAACTCACAAAAATGCACATTGTAAGATTGAAAGATTTCCATTGAAAATAATAGTATATACCCTACAAATTGTAGAAATCAACCTTGTTTACTAGAAAGTCCTATGTTACAACTGATGACAATATCAGCTACTTTTAAATGATTAATACAAAACACTGACCGCAAACTGGATTGGAAATCCAATGTCTACATACTTAAATAAAAAGAGATCAAATGGTCTACATCTAGGAAAAATTTCATGAACCACAAAGTTACAGCATAGTATGATTCCTAGGCTACCTTTATTTTACCCAGGAGTTACCTGGTTTGGCAGCTACAATTTACTGAAGCTTATGATAGTCTTGCAAATCAGAGAGAAGTGCTAATACTTCACTGCAACATTGCTTTAGTCCTTAGATTATGGCCAAAGACAATGCACAAATGTGTCAAAATCTTGCGCAAAGGACATATTGTAAAAATTGCTTTTGGTTATCAAGCCTGACTGGTTGATATGGCAAGAAGGAAATTAAGCTTGAATACAACGAATCTCAAACTCTATTAAAGTATAGCGTTTGGTGTACAAAAAGGATCCAAAAGGCTTTGGCACTGAAATCAAGCACATTGCCAAATGGCAATCACCCCATTAAAAAAAATCATTATTAAATGACAAAAACTGTGTATGTCAGCAGAAACCTTAACTGCAAATTTTGTGCACTGGATCCAGTAACACAAAACTAAGGTAAATTAAGAATGACGGAGTCACTAATATTCTTTTCTCTCAATAATGCCTGGCGGTGGCATAATGCTAACATTCAACTTGAAAATAACTTATTTTTCACTTTTAGACTAATCTTGGCCATTTTGCTGCACATCCACCATGCACAAATGTCATATGCACTAATAATGCAAATGATCTTTACTATACATGCTGTCCCTTCAAGATTATTACCAGATGACCTAACACTAAAGTCAATTGACCACAGGGAAATATGTTAGTCTTAAGTGGGTGCTACTCACCAATCACAGCCCATGTGCCACAAATTCATTACTGGACAGTATGTCTCCCCCACAATTGACACCTGCAGTTAAGCAACAGACACCACATGTCCTAAGACCTGATTATCTTTAAATATGGATGACCTAGGACAAATTCAGGTCTTCACTTTCTCTGGGTCTGTAAGGAGTGTACATCTTGCAGATTGGTTGGTTATTATGGAAACATGATAGACATGGTTAAGATCAAAATCCATTAGTTTAGGCCAGCAATGCATGCAGAATGAACAAATATAAAGGCCACACATTGAACCAATTTTTAAACATGATTTACTCCCACTCAGGCAAAGAAAGCATCCTTTACGGCTCAACAATGTATGTCCCGTCCAACTTTGAA